AACCTCATCATTGAAAGAGACCTCTTGAGACTTCACGTTTGCTAAGTTGGCTCCTCAATAGCTGTAAAGGCAAAAGATAACCAATAGCTGTAAAGACAAAATATAACTTCATTTGCCCTCTGCTGCCATGCCATTCAATTTGTTAAAATCTAATCTGACTTGTCATAACAAAAGAACTTTCTTTCACTACTTGAATTTTTCCCAAGCATTAACCTTGTCCAAACAACACAACAACCAAAAATACAATCTTCAAATTAAAACCATAAAGCCAGGCCTAAATTCTGCAAACTTAATGTAAGGAACAGATAAAAGCTACCAATCTGAAAAACTCCAAAGCACCAGTATAAAATTTTATCATCAAATAGTTAAGAAAAAATGACTTGGCTACCGAATTTAATTGAATAAACAAACAATTCCTAAAATCAACCTTCTCTTTTCCAGATTCAACAAGAAATTAGAGTACAAAAACAAAAATACTTTCTACCCCTGTTGCTGCCGGAGAACAAAAATACTTTCAGAAGGTCGTTTGCCTTCAATTCCATTTTTGCTACTGTCGATGGCGCGATTGCATATGAAAATTCAAGGAACCGATGATTAGAAAGAGACCCAACAAAAAAGAGAGATTTTTTCGTTTTGTTTGGGTAGATAGAGCTTACCGTCCTCGGTCCCTTCTCTTCGATGGAGATGATGAATTGCAGTGGAATCGGAGGATTCGGAGGAGTGGATGGAGATCGGAGGATTCGGAGGAGTGGATGGAGATGAGAGGCGATGGAGAAGGAATCGGAGAAGAGGCAAAGGCAAAAGAGGCAGAGGGGAGGGGCTGAGAGGCGATGGAGGCGATGGAGGCGATGGAGAAGGAATCGGAGAAGAGGCAAAGGCAAAGGCAAAGGGGAGGGGTTGAGAGGCGATGGAGAACAAATCGGAGAAGAGGCAAAGGCAAAAGGGGCAGGGGCAGAGGCAAAGGGGAGGGGTTGAGAGGCGATGGAGAGAATCCGAGAAGAGGCAAAGGCAAAAGGGGCAAGGGCAAAGGCAAATGAGAGGGGGCTGAGATTAATAAAACGGCGTCGTTTTGGGTTAGGACTCCAAATTTTTTTTGGGAGTCAGGACTGATGGCCACTTTCCCGATTTAGTATATCGTGATTTTAAGTTCTTAGATTTTGTTTTTAAAATTGAAATAACTAAAATTAACCATTAAAAATTAAAATTACTAATAAGTTAAGTATAAAATTTTTAATTAAATACTCAAAACTCCCAACATTATTAATTTATATAAAAGTGTTTAATTTTATTCTAAAAATTTTAAATTTTGAAAAG